GAACACTGATTAATAATTTCAGCGAATATAATCATTAGAATAATTTATTGGCGAATCAGTGATAATTCTAGATTACACAAATCACAATTAGTACAACTAAACTATTATCAAAAGATTTTAATCTGACAAATGTAACGCAAAAAAGGAATCAAATGGGAAAAGGGCCTATCAAAACTCTTCCGTTAATTTTACCACCAATTGGTTAATCCCGCTTTAATTTTATTTACTAGTTTTAGCCAATACCGAAACCGATGATTTAAATAGCGGAAAATTGCAAAATATTGAAGGATCTCTCCCCGATTAATAAAGACATTACAACAATTAGATAGTAGTACAAATTATATTTGGCACAATCAAATTATTCCCACATTATATTACTATGTCTAAGGTTACTTCCTAGGTAAACAAATTTTAAGCATGCCACAAATTGTCGTAGTAATTCTTATATACGACGCTAGTTCAATATCCAAAAAACTTATATGTATTGTATATAGGGTTTTTATAAAGTATAAGTTGTTTATTTCCAAATCGAATGAGTTTTAGAAAAGATTTAACAAAAGAAATTGGTTTTTATCTTCTAAAGAACTGGTTTGAATACTATTCTTTGGCTCACAATTTATACTTTTTCGTTTGACAATAAAAATAACCATTCCACAAGCGCTGACTGTTCGGATCCTTGGCAATATTTCTTGGCAACTGAAAAGGTTGCAGCAAGTCCTTGGCAATATTTCTTGGCAAAAGAAAACACTGCTAAAAGACAAGCACGCAATATTTCTTGGCGATTGTGCAATATTAATCATAGCTTAAAAAATTAAAGAAAATGTCTTGGCCTTTGCACCGAGTGATTTCTGTAACCACGTGGGCTACATTCATTACTCTTTAAAACCATGATTTCATACGACAAAATGTGTGATTTCTTGGTGTAGATGGTTATCACGTCTGTCTAACACACAGACGGTCGCCGGTTCGAGTCCGGCAGAAATCACTGATGTGTCAAGTCGTATGTATAATACGGAATCATTTGAGCTCAGCTCGCACGGGTTCAAATCTGATACAAAAATTTGCCTGGCTAGCTCAATCGGTAGAGCGTGAGACTCTTAATCTCAAGGTTGCGGGTTCGACCCCCGCGTTGGGCTATGTGCTTTGGTGGCTCAGTCGGTAGAGCGTCAGTCTCATAATCTGAAGGTCATGAGTTCGAACCTCATCCAGAGCATATTTTTTTAAATATCAAATTTTAATATTAAAAATTTCGAGTTGTTAATTCAATTATCTATTCAAGTTATTTTTTTTTGAAACTAGATTTTATTCTCCATTTGTTCTTTGTTTTTTATTACTCTAATCCATCTTCTTATCTTTGGTTAAAGATATATGGGCAAATAACAAAAAGTCAAACATTTCCATAAATTGAAACTTTTTGACAAAACTTCCACAGTTTTTAAAACTCTTTTTTCGAAAAATGCCACATATTAGCACATACTCTATTTGTTAAAAAATTTGTTGATATTTTAATTCCCAATAAAATTTGAATATATTTTTGTTGAAGTTTTATTCCAAGTGTATCAAAAAAATACTAACAAAAAATAAATATATAAAAAACTCAGGTTTTAGATATTTCCCAAATTAATTTTTATTTCAGTACTTTTTAGCAACTCCCTTTTCTCTATCTATCTAATATTAAAAATCAAACTAAACTTACCTTTTCCAAACAGCTATCATTATATGCACATCAAATATTCAAACCCATTTCTTTTTAAAACTGTCTCTTGAACTGTGCTATATATAAAAAATTTATCTAATAGACTTTTATCTCAACTTCCTCACACGCTATCTTGTTAATTCATTTTTTCATCAAATTTCTATATTTTGCAACCAATAGTTTTTTATTTAACACATTTAGTATTTTAAAATAAGCCAAAGTTTATAATTGTTCAAGGTAAAAGAAATGTTATATGTAAAATATTTACTAATCTTATTTTTTAGTTTGGCTTTTTCATACACATTCTTTTATTCTGTACTGAATTTCAGCACAATTTACAACAAATGTACAAAGAATTTGTTTCTTGACATAATAGGGCGTTTTACCACGGAATAAATTTAAGTCATTAAAAGAGTCGAGGGGGGGTTTTAGTAACTTTATTTGAGCCCACATAACGGGCGAAATTTATAGATAAAATCACAAAGATAAAATCTAAGAAGGGGATGGCTAAGTTAAACGTTAATCAAAAAGCTAAGTAAATCACTAATTTGTAAAATGGATAAATCCAGTAAGAGGACGTCCAAGTCTTTTAGGTCTTCAGAATGTAACGACAAAGTTCAAAGATTGCGGCAAGTTTGTGAGAACAAACGACAAGGTCCAAAAGCTGCGGCCAATTCAGAGACGGGGTAGCACTCGGGGCTTTATATTCCTACTTGGACTTAGAGAAAGAATTTACAATCTCCATTATTCTTTCTGCCAGCCTTGTCTGCTTCTTAAAGATAAACAACTCATCAGTATCATTTAGTCCCAAGCATCGAGAAATATGAGTGTGTTTGAATAGTCTCAAACAAACAGGACAAGTAATGTTAATAAATAACAAACTCATTCTGTACTTTATAGCATACATGGCTATAAATCTATTTGACAAATTCAATAAAATGTCTGTATAATTTCTAGGATGTCTTGACTCTGGTAAGATCTTCCCAATCCTATCTATAACTGTCTTTGTCTTCAAGAATAGGTCCTTCCTCAACTCAAACAACTTCTTCTCCAACAACTCCTTCCTACTACTTCTTTCTAGCGGAATATCTTCAACCAAGTTCAAGTACCTAGGATTCATGTGAATCCCTTTTGCAATAAGAGAAAGTCTGGTAAATTGTATTTCAAATCTATCAGCAGCTGTGCATAATGTTTTCAAAGGATTATTGACTGCTAATCCCTCATAATGAAAACCAAATCTAATTAAAAGACTTTCAAACCTCTCCTTTATTGGCTCCAAAACAGTCAAACTATGGCCAAGTCTCTTAAAGATTGTTATATAATGCGAACTCACACACAAAATCCAACCAAGTGCCTCCACTTGCACATCTTGGATCTCTTTAATTTGTTTAGCATCAAGAACTAAACTCATTAAAGGCGCTGCATACTCCAGCACTGGCCTTACAAAAGTCTTATAAATCATGAGTCTTACTAATGGATGGTATTTCTTCCCAACTACTTGGAAATACCGAAGTACCCCAGTAGCTTTACTGGTAATCTTCTCAACATAACTGTTCCAGTTTATACCCTTTACAGTAGTTGGAAGACCCAAGTACTTGTACTCACTAACAATTGGAATAGCTTGCCCATTAATGAACAAACTCCAATTATCAGTTGTCAATAGTCCACATTTACCAATGTTGGCTTCCATTCCATTATCTTTACACCAACAATCAAAAATACTCAACATAAGTAGAGCATGAGAAATATTACAAGGTAATAGCTGAATATCATCTGCAAACAACAAGGCCGCAGGGATAATGTGATTGTCAGAGTTAAAACTTTGATTTTCCCCCGTACAGGCAGCACCACTGCAGCGAGAGATGAACTCCCCACTGTACGGGCTAGGCTTTCTGCCAAATCATCAATGTATATATTAAACATCAATGGTGATAATAATGACCCCTGTAAGAGTCC